CCCCAAAACCCCAAAACCCCAAAACCCCAAAACCCCAAAACCCCATTTTTATGAATAATTTTTGAAAGATGCAAATTATATAGAGGATATGTTCCAAATAAAGTCTGGTCTTGATACATTAGAGGCAGTTACCTCTGTGATCTGGCATAACTTTGGGAAAGCTTATTCTTACCTTGAGCTATACCATAGCCTCTATATCTGCTGATCTGATGTGTATTTAAGTGAAATCCTTCTTAATTATCTACAGAGGATAATGCTTTGCTACTTACTGAGACTCTTATCTTCTTTGTGATACCATCAACAATGATCTTGAGCATATGAAACTTGCCCTCAAGAAGTTTAACTTCAGTCTTAGAGTCAGAATCTTCGACTAAAGATGATAAGACAGCTTACCAAAGGGATAATTCTGAAGCAGGCCTCTCTTAACATCCTCAGGGTCAGCATATCTGTACAGCTTGTGGCCTGAGAAGTACTGGAGAGAATCCAGCATCCTTTCCTTAAGCTCTTCGCGAGATTTGATCTTATTTGCATCTGAGTCATCATTCCATTCCAAGTGATGAAATGTACTCTGCCAAAATGGGTAAATAGATTCCTTTAAGTGGATGTATTCCTTCTGAATAGGACCTTGTGGAGAGTCCATTGAAGCCTCTATGTTACTTAGAGTCGATTTCATTTCTTGAAACATGTTGCTGCCAAGAGTATCTGCTTCTAAAAATTAGCATTCTAAGCTTTACTATTTCGTTTCCTCTGGGATGCAATGAGCTTCAACTGATCTTGGAAATTCGATCAATTTTCAGTTGGCCATTTAGGTCTTGAGTCAAACTCAACTATCTCTATTTGGTCTAGATTGAAATGAGAGAATGTAGTCTTACCAGGAGGAGTCTGTTGTAGATCTAGATTATGATATCTAAAAGCTTACATTTATCCATCACCTCAGAGTTCACAGTTGGAGTAGAAGATACCATTCTGGATTTCTTAGGTGGGCTTGAGTCAAAATCACGCGCATTTTTGGCATCAACTTGTTCTTTCTTTTTATCTCTTTTCTTTTGTTTGGGGTTGAGCGGTTGGTCTAAAAATTTCGTAAATGATGTTCTACAAAATTTTGGAGCAAGTCATAGAGTCCTTAAATTATTTCACTGAATACTTAAGAGAAACTTACCATCGATATTCTTGTCATCAGAGTTGGAAGAATCCAGAGATACTACCTCATGGGCTCTAAAGGTCAATGATTGGCAATGAAGTTATTTTAAATTTTCATGAATCTTTCTATACTTACTTATGATCAACAGGTGGTCAGCTTTCAACAGATGGTCAATTTTCAATAGGTGGTCAACTTTCAATGGGAGTTGAGTAGTTCCCTGAGCTGGAGGTTTTGGAAGATATCTCTATTACTTCCACTCTCTTTTGAGCCACCCCATTGGAGGGCTTTGCTTCCTCTCATTCGAAAGTCTTCTTCCCTACTGTACGCTGAGACTGATGCAATTTGTGTTTTTGAATCTTTCTAATTTTAGTGAGAATTTATGAATTACTCTTTATTTGTGCCAGTCTTCAGTGCAAGACTCTTGTTTGACAGCTGTAAAATAATTTATAGATTTCTTACTTGCTGTTCATCCCTCGAAGCATGGTCTCTTCTCTGCTGACTTGTGCTCTCTTTATGCCTAATGTTAGAAAATATTAGATCTTTGCCAGGAGTTTGCTTCTTAATCATTGTTTTCTTTTTCCCATGATACTCATTATAAGGCTCTAGGCCAATTTCTTGAGCCCTATTTAAGAAAGGCTAGCTCTCTTTGCTTAGATCTGCTCACTTTAGGAGGAGCCATTGCTGAATCTTGGCTATAAAACTTCTTGGAGCCTTGTGTAAATCCATGATCATTCTGACCTATAGAAAGTGAACTTTTAGCTGATCTATTAAAGTTTTATGTATCTTCCTCACAGTCACTACAAGAGAGGTGTAAATTTTCTGTTAGAGCTAAGTCAACTCTTGAGTAGCGATTAATTCATGAGCAACTTACTGTTCTCCTCACTGGAAGGTTCGAAGAGGTCTTTAAGCTGAGGATCTTGATCCATATTTTTCTGAATTTGGTCAATCATATCCGTGTCCATTTTCTTGAAATTAATATATGCTGTAACTTTCAGATTAATTTATTATTTAGGGGTTTTGGGGTTTTGGGGTTTTGGGGTTTTGGGG